CTTTTTATATATACTTAATGTGTCCCTAGTATTGGAATATATGAAATAAATGGACTGGGACTCTCCCGGAATCACCTGACTGTGGTAAACCTTGTTACAGGAAATGAACCTCATGTGACTGTAAATGGTGAGAATTAGATAGCATCAATTCAGACATTATTTCTACATATTATCCTTGCTGCATAATGTTTTGCTTTGTTCATCTGTTTCCCTGTTAAAAGCTTCCTCATTTCAGCTTGCAGTTCAAGTCTTCTTTCTTCTTCCGAAGTCCCCTGTCTCCTTTCCTCCCATCTGCCACTCTGATTACAGTTCTCTTCCATTTTGTCCTTCTTACTTTCTCTTTTATCCCTCTCTTTGATTTTCTACTTACAAGAAAGGGACAGAAGGAATAATTAAGAATAATTTCAAACCTGTAAAATAAAAATTCATATTTTCCCCTGATACAATAATATCATAGAAATAAAAATTTAAAAATCAGAATAATCTGAATTGTCTACTTTGGAATTGTCCAACTCTACTTTTGCTTTATTGATTGTTTGATAGTCTTTTCTGATAGATGCAGTTAATGACAATAACGTAGATACAGAAGTAGTAAGACTACAGATATAAAATGTATATTTAGATATGCTCTATAGCTCTTGAATCATAAATAAGGCAGAGTATTAATTAAAACGAATGTTCAACGAGAAGCATTATTTTATGTGCTGTCATTGATATAGTTTCCCCTCACAATCATTCCCCTTCTTCATGGTAACTAACTACTATTTACACATCCAGAGAATTTCTCAAAATTTTCAACCACTATTCACAGCTAGGTCCCTCTGAGTAGTTCCTGATTCAAGAAAAGTCTCGTGCTTCCTAATGGGCTAAAAATAAAAATTAAAGGAAGTCTTCTCACTAAGCAGACATAACCAGCTCTGCCCAGCCTTCCTTTTAGGCATAAACCTGTATAATGAAGTCATGAGACTTTTCCAATAATAAACTGGAAATTTTTTTAGTGCCTTTTGTTGAAAAAACGGCATTCATATAATGTAATTTTATGTAATGACACAAAACAAGCTATTTAATTTTTATCTATGAACTTATAAAAAATGAGCCCTTCTATGAGGATCAATCCAGTTTAGACTATTTAAGGGTGTTCTAGATCTTGGTAATTTGGATACTAGCTTCCTTCAGAGAGCTTGTTGGGGGGAAAACAAACTTCTCTCTAAATATGATTAAGGTCTAATGATGCCATATTTAAAAAGCACACCTTGGGCCTCCCCTGGTGGTGCAACCGTTGAGTGCTGGGCTGCGAAGCGGCCCACAGCCTCTGCAGAGCCGGTTCGATCCCCAGCCGCCGGCGAGGGTCCCACATGGCATGACAGACCTCTCCTGCCGTGCCCGCTGCTCCCCTCAGCAGTGTGTTTCGTCATTCTGCCTGCTCTGCTCCCCACTCTGGCTCTGGTGAATTCTTTCACCCTCCCATGCTTCTGACTGTACCCAGTGCTTGTATGAATAAATAAATAAATCTTTAAAAATAAACAAATAAATAAAAAGCACACCTTAAATACTCCATAAGCACCAAGACAGTAACAATTTCTTCAAACATATACCAGGGACCCACTCAGTTAAGGCTGTGAAGGCACATGTCATCCATGGAGGTGACGAGAGAGGAGAGTAGCAAAGTAGGTGATATTTGGAAGGTGATACTTTATTTTAAATACAAAGAAACAGAGAAGATGAGCAGGTATATGAACAGGGTTACCAATCTCTCTCTCTCTCTCTCTCTCTCTCTCTCTCTCTCTCTCTCACACACACACACACACACACACACACATATTAAGGAGCACAGGAGTGTCTGCCCTTTGAGTGCTGGCACCGGTCACAACCTGAAATTACTTACACTATTCAGACTCAAGGAAAACCTTTTCACACACTTAATAGTCATCTTTGAAACTGCACTTGAATATCAGATAAATTTGTGAGTTGTGCTGCTGCTGACGGGGAAGGCACACTCTGATATGACAGATGGGAGGTGTTTGAGGAAAGAGAAAAGAAAAATGAACTAATTAACCCATCTTCTACTCAAGTGGTGGAGGCCGCAAGTCCAGGCACAATGAAGAGCCTTTTCCAGGGGAGGTGAGGATCCGTCTTCTTGCTCCTTGGGTGTGTGCTCACCTGTGGTCTAGAGGAGACCATGAGTCAGCACAGTATTCACCACAGCACTCATGATGACTGGACACCTGTAGTATCATACAATATTACTTTTAAATTGTATGTGCTAACTGAAAATAAAGTCCCATGATGGTTAAGCAAAGAATTTATTAGATAATGCAAGCGAGCATTTTAATCTAGGAAGCAGACCAACAGATTTTACTGTGATAGCTTTCCAATAAACACAGGCTTGAATTTAATTTATATAATTAGGTACAGTTAATCATTGACATTAAGAATGAAATTTCTTTATTAGAGGGGCTTTTAGTAAACTCTCTGGATTTAAAGATATGCTGATACTAAAGGAAGTCAACACAGGTATTAACCTCTTCCTATTGAAGGAATTCCCTGCACACAGCGTTTGTTAAACATCTTTTATCTGGCCCCTTGGTGATCATTGGGAAATCCTGTGGGAGGGCTGGCTTTACCTTAGGTCAGCAAATTCCTGCATCCAAGCGGAAGCAGAAAAGTGAAAGTGGCTTTGCCCTTTTTCCTGCTAGACCAGGGACCTAGGGGCGAGGAGTCCCAAAATAATTCACAATATGCTTATAAATGAACCTACAAAAAAGTTATACAGATTACTTATTTTAGCAACTAGATGGACATTGAATCTAGAATTTTGAATAGTTGTGCTTTTATAAAATAGCTATAAGTTTTAAAATAAATTTCATATAACTTGAATTTAATGAAATGTATTTTATTAAAACTGTTGAATACTACGATTTCTGTTTTGCTTTGTAATTTTGATAGGAAATTTTTAAGTAAATGTTTCTGTAAATACATGCATGAAAATAAATTTAGTTTGTGGTCTTGTCTCAGATTCATTATTAATAATAATCCTCTATAAACAATAATTCTCTGTAGGTAGATTTGGAGGTCAAAGGGGTGGGGAATGACAACCTTATTAGAACTGAAGTAGAAAGTGAATTGATCTGCAGGCAATGAAGATGGGAGTGTTACAGAGACACCTCAATAAAAGGGAGAGGCACCACATTCCCAGCCCCACTTAACTATGGGTGGAGCCAGCAGCCAGGGGAAGCTATAGAACACGGAAGGCAGGTCTTGGGAAGAAGAAGACAAAGAAAGAAGAGGAAGAAGGAAGAGCTCCTTTTCTTGCTGCTCAACATGCACCTTGATACTGCTGAGGAGACACGTAGAGAAGAGACATACATGACACTCGTGAGGCACATGGGGAGGCTGACAATCGCAGCCATTATTTTGATTAGTATTTTTGTGTCTCCCCTATTGCCCCAGCCTGGATTGGCTCCTCTTGTACCTTTTCATGGTTCCCTGCTAGAAGGTGCCTTAGACTTGTGGCAGGCACTCAGTACTCCACAGCACCACTTTGAGAAAACCCTGTTTGCCTGGGCATTTGCCCAGGAGTTGATGGATAATTTGGGGTGTTTTATTGGAAAACTGTTATTCTTTCTTCTCCTCCTCTGTGCACACTAATTCTGCTAAAGTTCTTTCACACCAAGAATCTATTTGCCTTTGTGCACACAGATAGCCAGACTACTGTAGAGTGTGCAAGTTTGGGGGTCCTGGGTGCCCCTCTGTAGCACCCTAACAAGATGAACTGGCCAACAATATTGCCAATGTATTCTACCTACACTGTGAGATGGAAAATAGTAAGATAAAAAGTAGGAAAATGAGAAAAGAAGTAGAAAATAAAAGAAATAAGAAAGATGATTAGGAATTGCGATTAATAATTATTACTGGAATTTCAGTGGGTATTAATGAATTCAGTTGTGAGTTAGAAAAAAAGAGAGACAAAACCTGGATGGATCTGTTACCAAAAACCCAGCCTCAGTCACTCACCTCTCATAAACCAAACAGGAGAGACCTGGGTTAGGACAACTAGGTTTGTTCAGAAAACCAGTATTCTACAGAGAAGTGGGTTCGTGTCCTCAAGATACTATCTCAAGTCTTGGGATTTGGGTCAGGGCTTTTATACAGGTACCATAAGCCAGGTAAAGGTGGGTTTTTGCTGCTCAGCATGACTGTTAAGGGTGCAGCCATTATCTTCAGAGTGTGTGTGTATGTGTGTTTTCTTATACTGGCAAGCTCTCAGTTGTGCTGGCACATTTGGGCAGAATGAGTTGTCTGGTGTTCCTTACATCCATGATTCATTTGTCAAAAAAAGTTCCAGTAAATGCTTGGATATTTGCTTATGGCTTTTAAGACAAGTTAACATGCTAGTGATTTAAGGGGCAAAACTAAGTATGCTAATGTTACAGTAATGCTAACTGAGGCAGAGGGCTTTTTATCAGTATGTGTTTTGTTTTCTCACTATTAAGAGCTGATAAAGAAAGGAAGGGTCATTCAGGAAACCAAATTCCAAGATTCCATGTGGAACTTTGGCATGACAAAGTCATAACCATGTAGACTTTGGAAAGATCATCTTGTACACATCCTTCAAGGCCATGTTAATTAAGTCCACCAATCTCAAATACTCTAGTCAAAGAGCTAAACTTCAAAGGAAGGAGTATATCAGGTTATTAGTAATCTGGAGATAAAACAGTTTGCAAGAAGCAATTCTCCTAGACTTCCTAATAGCATGACAGCAGCTCTCTGTTTTGCCTCACACCAGTTCACATGGCCCAACCTCCACACACCTTAGCCCATTATTGTTTTTTAAATGACATGAGAGCAAGTACATCCTCTAATTTGCTAAAAATTCTATACTATCACTCCTCTAGAATCCTGACTCTAAATGACAAAAATACTACACTTTTAGAGACAGGAGTGCTTACTTTGACATTTGGTGAATAAAGATGAAAAAGTCTCATATTTTCATAAGAACAGAACACTCCCTGTTTTGATTCTGATTTTTCTGTACTATTTGGCATACCCGCATGCCATACGTGAGCAAATAACTTAGCCTGAGACGCAAAGTCTCTTTAGTTACAAAGTCACTGGAGGTTTGTGCTCAGCTCCCCCTGCAGCCCCAGGCACTGTGCCACTCACAGCACAGAAGTACTGGGCTGAGTCACTCCAGTGGGTAGAGCTTTTCTTCAAGTGGAAAGAGGTTTTTTCCTTCTTAAATTCAGCCTCAAAACCGTTGATGCCTTTAACCAGGGTGTCCCCTGATAGGTCCTTGAGGAGAAGCTGGGGTCCTTGGTTGGGGTACTGGACGTACCAGAAGAGACTAGGAGTTGCACCATAGGAATAGTTGCACTTCAACTCCAGCTGGCCTCCTTCAGAGACAGAGACGTGGGCGTCAGGCTGGGTCACCGACTGGGCTCTCGATCCTCCTGCAACATCAATGAAGGCTCAATAAATTCAGCTGAAACAAAAAGTCTCCATTCAGAAACTAGAACTGAGCCCCACTGGTGGCCCAGGGAGTAGACATGGGAAGGTACTCACTCAGGAGCAGGACCACCTCAAGCAACACGGTGAGCACCACAGTCATGGTGGAGAAGTGAGCTCCTTTCTGGGACATTCCTCACCAACAAACAGCAATCTGAGGTCTGGGGTCTTGAACCAGTTTCTGTGAGGCTGAAGAGGGATGGCAGGGGTTCAATGTCTTCCTCTTAAAACCTTTGTAGGGTCTGAGAGGTGGCGATGCTCTCTTGACAAAACTGCGGGCCTCTGGTGTCTGAGACTCCTCACATGTCACTGTGTAAAAAGCCTGTCAGAGCACCTCTTGCAGCTGTGTGCAAGGAAGGTTTTGGTGAGCTGCTCCAAATACTTTTCAAAAATGTCATTTCCAATGAGACAACACCGCCCTCCAGAGGCCAAGCAGGCACTCAGGAGAAGCTCACCTTTGTCATGACTTCCCCACCTCCTCCTGCCGTTCTGGGGTTAATGCCAAAGCATCGTGACTTTGACCATCAGAAGATTTATCTATTGTAGGTGCTACAATGTTTAACGTGGTGAGTTGTTAAAACAACAAAAGCTATCATAAAAGTGGATAAAAATGGAATGAGAAGACAGAACAAACCACAATTTTAAAAATACCACAAGCATCATGAAATCAGGAAAACTACATAGCATTTTATTACTCTTCCCCTGACTTATTTCCATTAAGTTTTTGTTTTTATAATTTTTGATTGATAATGTTTAAATGTCTCTTCCTATGACAATAAAATTCATACTGCCTACATAAAAAAGATACTAAGTCTTTACTCGAGCAACTCAATCGCAACACTTTTTTAATTTTTAATTAACAGTACGTTAATTGTAGAATTATACTCAAAATTTAGAAAACACCTGTCAATTTGCTCTGTGCTGTAAGATTTCATTACATTTCAGATTTTCCTAAGCTGTGAAAATCCTAGGTATTAGGAATTGGTGGTATTCTTTAATCACTTATTAATGCTGTATTAGTTTCCTATTGCTATGTAACAGTTAGCACTAAATTGGTGACTGATAACAGCACCTTTTCATGATTCATGGTTACTGCAGATCAGAAAATGGACACAGCAAAGTTGGTACTCAGAAGACGCAGTCAGGGAGTCAGCTAAGGCTACCATCTTTTCTGAGGGGTGAGGCCCTCTACAAGGCCCTGTGATTGTTGGCAGAACTCAGTCCCTGTAACTGAAGAACTAGCAGCATTTTGCTTCTAGACCAGCAGAAGAATATCTCTAACCCCAGGAAAAGTTTAAGCCTACTTTAAAGGAGCCCACCTGATTAGGTCAGGCCCATAGAAGATAACCTTCCTTCTGATTGACTCAAAGTTGAAATATTAGGGGTGTGAATTATATCTGCAAACTCCTTCACCTTTCCCATATAAATGATTCAGTCACGGAAGTGACCTCCATCATGTTCTGCGACCTGAAACATTCTGGGGGAACATTCCACAGGGCTTCAATCCAGGGAAGACACCCCAGCTACCACCTGGAATTCTGCCATCCACCGCCATGACTGTCCTCATTGTACTGGTGTGTGTGCGCTTTACCTTTACCCCATAAAAGGAATCATTTTGGGACCAATCAGTAAGAAGTTAATAAAAACCTCAATAGACAGTTTTGTGTTTTTTTACCAAAGGAAGAACAAAGCAAAGGCATAGTCCAGCAGAGGTGTGGAATCCAGGTTACAGGAGTCGTGTGCACAGGTAGGGCAGCAATGAGCAATAAAACTACCAAAGTTTTATTGATAGCTAAGGAGGTAGATATAGGTTTCAGGGTTGAAAAGCTGCAGACTATGCACCTTGAGGGAGAAATACTTGTGGATGCATCATTAGCAAAGGAATAGCAACATAAAACAACATCAGATATTAACATTGGTGCCAACAAAAAGTTTTGTTTGACAACTGCCCCTGTTATTTCAGTTGGTGGCATCTTGCTGGCAAAGACGAATATACATACTGAAGTGACAGTGGGCCACGGAAATAAATCCCACTTGTTGATAGATAAATAACAGGAAATTCTCAATATGTGGCAACAAAACACAATTCTTAAAATCTGTGCATAAAAGAATACCTTTGAGAAATTAGGTGTATTTGATGGAATGTAAATGAAAATATCACATATCACAATTTCTGGGAGAACAAGCAGAATGGAGAGGAATTTTTTTACATATATTTTTTACATCATTGTTCATTTTTAAACAATGTTTGCTTCCCCCTCACAGGTGTAGTCCCCACAGAATTTCCTCACCAACGCACCCGTGCACCATCACTTCAGTCCCCTGTGCTCCTCCCTCCCTCCTTCTGATCCCTCTCCCTCCTCCTCCTCTGCAGAATGTCTCTGATTTATAATTGTCTGTTTGTTTTTGTTGTGTTGTGTTTTGTATTGTTATTATTTTTCCCCTGATGTCTTATTGGTTTCCCTATATTCCTCCCATAAGTGAAACCATCTGATATTTTTCTTTTTCCTTCTGACTTATTTCACTGAGTATAATTCTTCTACCTCCATCCATGTTGCTGCAAATGGCATGAGTTTATCTTTTTTGATTGCTGAATAGTATTCCATTGTGTATATATACCACATATTCTTGATCCAGTCATCTATTTTGGGGCATTTGAGTTGTTTCCAGGTTTTACCCATTATAAATAGTGCTGCAATAAACATAGGATACAGGTATTTTTTGAATCAATGTTTTTGTGTCCTTTGGGTAGATCCCTAGGAGTGGAATTGCTAGGTCATCTGGTAACTCCATTTAGAGTAGGCTGAGGAATCTCCAGACAGCTTTCCATAGTGGTTGAAACAGTTTGCACTCCCACCAGCAATGTAGGAGAGTTCCTTTTTCACCACATCGGAGAGGAAATTTTTTAACACTAAATGAAATATTAGAGAAGATTATGTCTCAAATGAATAATAGAAGGTCTCACTTCAAAACCTAGAAAAAAAGAGAAAAACTAAACCAAACAAATATAAAGAAGGAAATAATAAAAATAAAGATAGAAATGAAATTGAAAATAAAATAGAGAAAAATCAATGAAGTAAAGACTGGTTCCTTAAAAATTTAATTCTAGTAAAACCAAAAAGCTTCCAGCAGAATGGACAGTAAAAAAGGAGTAACGTGGACGCAGGCTAACTAGCAGTGGAGCAGACTATTTGATATGTGAATATTTGCCTTTCCCAGCTGGAACTGTATTGAATGAATCTCCAAACACTATGCAAAGTGAAAAAGTATTACACCAAGTCCACATACTGCAGGATTCCATTTATATGAAATGTACAGAAAGGATAAATCCACAGAGAAGGAAAGCAGGCTGCTGGCTGCAGGGGCTGGGGAGGGAGGAAGGGTGAGTTCTTAATGGGTGTGTGGCTTCCTTCTGGGGGATAAGGCTTTGAAACTAGAGGTGATGGTTGTGAAGGCACTGGATGCCACTCAATGCATCACTTTAAAAGGGTGAACTCTATGGAAAGTGAATTAATTTCAGTAAAACTACTTAAATTGAACTTGATAAAAATCTAAAGCTCAAGAAGTCACAATTTAATTCTGATGATTCTATCAGGTCTTGCATATTTGTTTCTCTCTGAGCCACCTATTTAGGGGGTGGGGTTGGAGACCAGCATAGGGTTTGGGTGCTGGTGGCAGGTGCCTGTCAGGCACTGTGCTCACAGCACAGAGGTAGGTGGCAGAGTCCCCGGGCTGAGAAGCTGCAATGTGCAAAGTACCGTATTTTGACGGTTTATCCAGTGAGCCATTAATTCTTCCACTTGTCTCTTCTCTCTGATTTGACCGAATTACCAGCAGAGAAGTGAGGCCTCTCCCAGGATCCTGCCTAAACCACTGAACGAAGTAAATGGCGTTGTCAGTGAAACTGCAGTTGAGAACCGAGGTGTCTCCTTCCTGGACACGCAGAGCTGTGGGACTCTGCCTCACCTCCTGCTTACTGCTCCCCACTGTTGAAAAGAGACCAGAGAAAGGGGCTGGTTAGTACCTACTTATTCCTTGGAAATTACTTTTTTTTTAAAGATTTATTTATTTACTTATACAAGCACTGGGTACAGTCAGAAGCACGGGAGGGTGAGAGAATTCACCAGAGCCAGAGCAGAGAGCAGAGCAGGCAGAAGGACCGAAGTACACTGCTGAGGGGAGCAGCAAGCGGCAGGAGAGGTCTACGCGCCATGTGGGACCCTCGACCGGCAGCTGGGGAGCGAACTGGTGCTGCAGAGGCTGCAAGCAGCTTCGCAACCCAGCGCTCAACCGCTGTGCCACCGGGGAGGCCCTGGAAATTACTTTTTTAATTTATTTCTTTCAATCCCTTTAGAAATTCCAAGAAAACCAGACAGATACAAGCTTCCTATTTTTCCCTCTTTGCCCTGGGGAGAGTGTCTCTGGGTCTGACTTCTTTGCCCTAATCCAGATCCCTTTGACTCACAGTTTAGTTGTAGCCAAAGGATGAGCAGACTGAGGGCTCTGTCCATTCTGTTACTCACATCCACCAGGAACTGAACTCTTGTGTCTGTGATACTGACAAGGGCTGGCAAAATAAAGCACCTGCCTTGTTACCTCATATGCTCAAACATTTCTATAGGATACCAAATGGACCTGGCCAATCAGAGATCACGCACACACACATACACACACACACACACACACACTGATGCAGAGGTGAGGGGTGCAAGTGGAAACACTGCCATCTCAGGACCAATTCCTGAATTACTAGAGAATGCCTCTCTCTCCTCCTATGTCAGCACATAGAGAGAGATCTGTAGCGTCAATGTGTCTATTAGGAAAGAAGAACTCTAGATTTTACCTTACATTACACCTGCTTTCTCCACATTGCTGTAACTGTTCCCTCTTCCTACTCTCAACCCTTAATCATTGGTTTCATTTAATTCACACTTTCTTAAAAAGCCCCTTTAGATCATTTCTCACCAATCAGGTTGCAAAGAGAACTGAGAATCATAGTATTAATATTCAGTGTTGGGGATCATGTCAGGAATTGGGCATTGTCACATTAGATAGCTATGTATAAACCAATAAAGTTTTAGAAGCATTATTAATATACCACTGGATGCCAGAAATTCTACTTGGCTGAGTATTTTTCTCTTAAGAAATGCCCTTATAAGTAATGTATATATTTGCACAGTATATGCAGTAGGAAAAAATTTGAAATTTTATAATATAATACAAATATCCAATACATTATGGTAGAATTATGTTTGACATACAGTTGTGAAAATGAAGGAAGTAGACTGAAATTTTCTGATTTGCAAAGATTTCCCTAACTTATCCAATCAAATCGAA